GTGTAGGGACCTTTTCCATGAAAAAGGAAATATGAAGAAAAATGCCATTAATAATGCAAATTCTGGAGCACACCAATAATCCAAAGTTTCTCATCTCATATCATTGTGGGGTTCGTGCCACACTGATGATTAGAATAAGTACCTAAAAACTATTTCAGCTATGGAAATCAGTAGCTGTGCTGTCAATTATATACCCTGAGTAATTAAACGTGGTATTTTTAAGGCTACAAACTGATGCACTATGTACAGTTCAATTCCAGCAGGATTTTTTTTTTTTAATTTAGAATACACCATAACACACATCTTTTTTTTTTTTTTCTTTCTTCATCAACAAGGATCCCCAGGAGTTATGCATTGATCAAGAGTAATCTCTCCATCACTAATAATAATACTCACAACACGTAGAGAGAGATCACCTAGCGGACAGAGCAAAAGAACGGGATGTTAGAATTCCTGAGGCTCACTTCACCCCCTTTGAAGTGCTCCCACACAATTTAAGGAGAATGGAAAGCAGCTGAACACCTGCTGGGGATGCCTTTGGTTAAGGAAAAGTCCTCACTGAACACAGAGACACCACAGCTGATGCCAGTGCCCCTTTTTGCAGCTCCCAGAGAAGAGGTCATGGCGAAAAGCTGGCTGGATTACACTGTATTCTAGCAACACCCAACTGGCAGATGGCATGATGCTAGCAATGACCAGGTCAGTGAGAGCACCCTGTAGGTTGCTCTGATCAACGTTTGGGCTGACACATAATTGGCCCCCAAATCCAGAAGCTGTAAGTGTCTCCCTCACTGGGTGCGGGCACAAATCCAGGCCCCGTATTCCCAATTCTGTACCACTGAGTTTGTCTGATCTTGAAACCATGCTACCCTGAGTTCCTCAACTGAGCAATTCCTTCTGTCAACTCTTAGGAGATAACGCGCGGTGCTAAGCATAGACGAGGGGAGGAAGTGATGCGAGGCTTATCTTGGGGGGAGTCTGAGACCTTCTGCAAGGAACAGCATTTTGGAGTAGAGTGCCCATCACTCTTAGGGGAAATAATATTACGGGGGGGGGGAAACAATATTAATATTATTAGTGGAAAAAATATTACAGAGGGGAACAAGCCTATTTCTAGATGCACCGCAAAATTATTATTCTATATCAGATATTGATTTAATTTGGCTTAATCTAGCCGCTTTCCTCTATACCCAACACTCCCTTGTCTGCAAAATTAATGTAATAGTACTGACCTTACCTCGCAGAGGTGTGAATTTCAGCTCCTCAGATGAAAGAGGCAATGTTTTATTTCTATAAAATCAGCAATATAAGTGACAAAAAGGCAGACACCAAATTTATTGTAAAAATTACACTACAGTCTTATGCTCACTATTCAATACTACATTACATTGTCATTTAATGGGGGGGGGAAGGTTCTTAAATGTGGCAATCCATTCTCCAAGACCACTGCACACATATCAGACAAAATTAATGACTGTAAAAGTCTAACAGACTTGAGCTTTGTCGTGTGTGAAGGAAAACACAACTCTGTGGACCAGATAAAAATCAGCCTCTTTGCCTCTTTTGGCAGTTAGATCATAACAAGGCCAAAGTGATATTAAATCATTTATGAGGTTTTTAAGTTTAAATATCAAAGTGATATATATGCAGAAGTATTGTTATGACATTTGAAATTCAGCAATAGGCATTTTTTTAGACATTTCAAGCTATGTAAAACCTGACATTTCAATGTTTATATACAAAAACAGCTATGATACAAAATAACACCTCTCCACCAATACTTTGTCATTTAGAACTTTTTATAGTCATCTTGTTATATTCAAACCTGCTGCAGAGCAATTTCTTGTCTGGAAACCTGTCATACTTTTGCAAACAGAAAAAAATCTACTGCACATTAATTACGATCTTTCTGGTAATCATTTTAGTCTCTGCGTTTTCAGAAGTCACTCTTTCATCCTTTTTATGTTTAGGTAGAAATGTTCTTTTGGCAGCTAAAATATACTACTTTTGTGCAGTGTTTTGATGAAGTGCGCTAAAGAAAAAGAAAGGAAGTGAACTGGACTTGCCAACAAAGAAAAAAAATACAACATTGCTATACCACTGTTCTGGGTACCATTTTCATGAGGTATGGAAAATAACATGTACTACTCATCAATTATTTCATAATGTATAATGCCTGTCTCTCCAACCTTCTAACAGCTGGGATTGAAATGTTTTGACATGATGATCTCAGGTGAAAATACTGAAGGCATTAAAAAATAGATATAAATAGGGTGATAATGAAGAACAAAATGTGTAACATTTTCTTGCAGTCATAGCTTGCAAATTAACAAGCAGATATTGACTTTTCTTTGAGGTCAATAACAGCATTTATCGATCGGAGAAGTTAATACTCACAGAGGTCAATATTAGATCTCAAGGGTCAACAAATCTGGATACTGACTTCTATTTCCTATCCATATATAAATATTGCATAGGCAAAATGGGCACATTTAATCTTTGGAGATAAGAAAACACTGCATTGTGGCAAGACAGAAAAAGGAACTAGAAAAGTTTATATGGTGTCTAGTAGGAGTATTTTCTAAACATTATCAACCATTAGAAGGCCTAGATAAGTCTAGTGTTACTAATTAACATAAGGTCTGTGTCCCACTCTTCATTTCTGTGCTTTATGTTTTCGGAGAACAAAAATTAACCCATAAATAAAGCAAAGCCCAAATGTAAGTAAATACCCACATACTAAGATTGGATAAAATGCTTTCTTCGTAAACAAATAACAAAAATATTCTGCAAACAAATGATAAAACACTAATGAAGATTTAGAAACTAAAAAATAGCATAGAGTTTGTCTAACACCATGCATGTGAATCTTTAAGTTTGGTCACTCAAGGGCAGAATTAGGTGCTTAGGGCTTCATTCACAGCCTAGTAAATATCAACGGAAAGGCTCCCAATGACATCAAGAAACTACGGTCAGGCTCTTTGAGATCCAAAGCTAATTTCATCCCAGTTTAAATGCTGTGACTTCAAAAGGTGTAAAAAAAACAAACAAACAAAGAGAGAGAGAATTTGGACATTGTTCTTCCTTTCATTTGTACAGGTAACTTTATTTACCAATCTCAGGCATATCCTTGTAAAATAGGTATAAAGAAAATAAGAATCCAAAAATACTCATGCTACTCTTCTTGGACATAGATATTCCACTATGACAAAGAACCAAATCAAAAGGTCAATAATGAAACATCTAAGAAACGAGTTTGACGCCATATTGCTGCAAATTTGGATTTCTGCAAAGTAATAAAAGAATCGCACATTTTTGGAGATGAGTTTGTACATGACATGCACCAGGCACAAAAACTATTTAATTTGATAAATGCTTAAAGAAATGAACAAATACCTGACATAAATACTCATCATACATGCAATAGTTTTGGAATTCAATGTATTTTACAATGATTAACACCTTCATAAGGCACACAAGCAGGTGATGCTATTCCCATTTTACAGATGAGTACACTGTGACAGAAAGATTAATCGACTTGACAAAGCTGCACAGAAAGCATATGACAACTGAGATTAGAACTCAGGAATACCGAACTTCTGGTGTTCAGATCATCTCTCTTTCAAATTACAAGCAAATCTGCAGTTCAGTTAGTTTTTATTCTAGAATAATGTACCTGCAGCAAAATACATATTCTAGGATGCAAATATTCATGATGACAACACAAAGGGCCAACATCATTTCTATTATTAATCCAACATTTTACCCATCCATGCCAGAGATTAATTTGTCCTGCCAATTTGTTTGCACTTCAATTTGCTTTAGACTTGGTAAACTTGATAACAAAGACATAATAGTAATATACTACTTTGTTATGAAAGTTCAAGTATATTCCCAGATACAGAACCAGAGATTTAAATAATATTTTCAAAAGTACTTAGGTGCCTAAATATGTAATTAGTTGCCCAATATAAATGTTCAAAAGTATTTAAGCAGGACAGATGCTTAATTCCTATTGCAATCAAGGGGTGCTGAAATCAAGGGATTTAAAGAACTTCACCTGCTTAGATACTTACCTGCTTTAGTTACCCGGTTCATACACTGCAACATTTTAGAATTAGTAGATCGCATGTTCTTTGCCCATGCTTTTATTCATGGATTGTAATGGAAAAAGCAGGAACGCCTGTTTTCCAAACCCTAACTTCACTTGGAATGAACTAGTCTAAAGGACATATTTTGGGTTTGATCAGTGATCACAAAATTCAAAACAAAAGTAATTATAAGAAGAGTTTTGCTGAACAACAGAAGCTGAAAATCCTGAATTTGGAGAAGCATGAATATCATCACTGAATGCCTTAAAACAAGATAGATACTTAATCCAGTAGACAACACAGTTGTACACCTTCAATGTCAAAATGTAAATAGGTTTTGCCCTAATTCTATAGAGAGGCAGATAGATGGATAGCAGATTATAGTAAATTAAATGAAGATAGCAGATTATAGTAAATTTTTGTCTTTAATATGGGTTGCCATAATTTGAAATGTAATTATACATGGGTTTAGTTTAGTAGCTCTTGGCTGGAGGATCAATGGACAAAAGTTTGATGGCAATCTAGCCTATAAATATGGCAGCTGAGGGGAACTTATGTAAACACTATAATAACTACTGAAGTCAAACTAACATTTTTCAAGCAATGAAAATAAAAACTAGTACAGCTGAATGACTAGCAAAATTAATGAACATGGACACTCTGAATCTGACCATTTTGTTGAGGTAAAGTACTACATGGATAGTAGTACTTCTGTACAGTTTAAGTTACATTTACGCCATGATTAACGTGTTAATATAAGGTACCATAAAATGGCAAACCAGCCATAAAAACGTTCTACACAAAATGAACATGTACAGGTCCTAGCCAAGGCCGACAACTGACAGCAATCAATTGTCAGCTCCAGCCAGAGACAGCACCAGAGCCTTAACCCAGCCCCAGTGCAGTCTGGTGCTAGCCCCAGTGCAGGCTGGATCTGTGAGCACCCTGCTTTCAACTTGATGGTGCAGGAGGAGCCCAGGATCATGGTCCCGGGCTCCCCCTGCACTGGCAAGTAGAAAGGGTATGATTATATCATATCTGATCCCCAAATCAGGCCTCCTGCCATGCATATGTAGCATGGTAGGAAACATGAATGTTGGGATCAGATCCCACTGAGCCTTTAAATGAATATGTGCCAACGGCTTAAGAAAGCTAAGCAGGAACAGAAATAAAATGAAGGACAATCACAGATTTGCCAAATCTATACAATAATAGGGAGCATGTGTGTGTGTTGGGGGAAGGGGAGGAACACCATCAGATTTGAGACCAGCCATTCAAATCTAAGATACTATTGAGGTCCAAAGTTTTATTTGATAAGATGCAATAGGAAGCATGTGATGCCCTTCAAAATAAATGCAAATACATCAGTTACGTAGTGATGATACTGATATCCAGGCTTATTATCATCAAGCTGAAAACTGAAACCATTCAGTTTTGACCTCAGTATAAGGTCACGGATGCACATTCTTGTCTTGTAAGCATTTATCAATCAACTGAGCAAAAGAAACAAACCACAAAGAAATTTTTGATTTACAGACCAATACATGAAATCATTAAGGCCTGATTTGCCAGTTATGACTAGCTATAAGACTTACAACTATGAATTGTTGCATAAGCTTATTAGCACTAAGTCCAGGAACATGCATTTTGAAGCAACTTTCATGTAAAAAATGTATCTTGAAATACTTTATAGAATGAAGCTATATTAAAAGGTATACAACAGCAATCGGATAGAAAAGGGCAAGGATGAGTATTGAAAATGGTGGATAGCCAAGAAGACAAAGATCACATAGCCAGGCCTGGGAACTGAGAAGTCATGCAGAAAGGACCTGTATCACTGAGGATGGAACTGCAGAAGAAAAGACAAGAAACATGGCGGAAAAAATCCAGGGCCAAGAATCACAACCAGGTGTACACAGAGTGGCCAGCAAAGGTTTAGGCTCTATAAGATTTAAAAAAAAAAAAAAGTCATAATTGGGAACTTTGAACATATAAATGGAAATAAGTCTTTACATATCTGCCTACTCTCCCAAATTCTATAGATTTAGTCTTGAGACTGAAATGGATGCAACTTTGGTCAACAACTGGTACCCATGTTGCTCCTTCTGTAATTAAGTTGATAGGGTCATGACTCATGAGAGTAAGTGAGCTATATAACTTGTTTTTGTAGCCATCCAAGTTTAGCTAAAGAAAAAAAAATGAAAGAAATGGGGTTAAAGTTGCTTCATTTGTATCACTACAGGAACATGCAGATGTACCCCTTACATTGTAACGGTTTATATCGGTATCATTTGATCTCATACAATTGTTGCATCTGTCTGTACCAAAGTGGATCAGCTATAGCTCTTTCTCCAACGTGACTGCCAAGATTATTTCAATAAAGGGTTTCCTATATGAAACCACTGGTTCTCTCTATCTGGATGATAGCAATTTTAATTCTGTGATCTATATAGCTCATTTGCCCAGTCACTGAGCAAAAAGAACCCCTATTACAAACCACTAACCTAGCAGATTCTCATTTATTTAAATGACAGATGGCTTAAGCATGATCCTACTGAGAAATAGCAAAGCTTTACATTTAGAAAAAATATAAAGGTGAATGGGTTTTATTACTTTTAAAAATCATGGCCCACAGCATGTCAGCAGAGCAAAGAAGTGAACATTGGATAATTGAGGGTGGTAGCATAAGCCATTCTGCCGTGGTTTCCTATTAGCGTGTAAACTTTTTCAAAGATACTTTCAGTGTCTGGCTTTAGGGCGTCTTTTTTTTTCTTCCCTCCCCCATCAAAAACAGGAATTTGTGTAACTATGATTTGGACTCTCAGTCTCAAGATGTAAGAGGGCAACAAAGTATTGAACTTGAATGATGATCCACCGCGAGAGCACCTTTTTGATAGCAACTTTGCTTGGAAAAGCGCATTCTTCAATACAAATAATTGTT